TCTGAACCTCAAACATTTAGCTTTCTTCATCTGAGCAGCCTGCAGGATCACCAAGAGGAGGAGGAGCAGGAGGAGGGGGAGGGGGGAGGGGTAATATATGCATGGAAATGACCTACAGCAACCCCCATAAAGAGGAGGAGGAGGGACAGCTGGGGTCAAACAGCTCCAAACTGACTGAGCTTTAATTAAAAAGACAAAGAGGAGCAGGAAGGAGTAGAGCTGTTACTGAGAGAGAGAGGGGAGTTGAGGGGGGCGCGAGGAGGAGAGAGGGAAGGGGAGATGAGAGAGAGATAAGGAGAGTAGTGAGGAGGAGAGAGGAGGAGAGAGGAGGGGATTATAGAGAGGAGGAGATGGGAGAGAGTGAGAGAGGAGAGGAGAGGAGAGGGGAGAGAGAGGGAAGAAGAGTAGAGAGGAGGAGAGAGGAGAGAAAGGAGGAGAGATGGAAGGAGAGGAGAGAGGAGGGGAGTATAGAGAGGAGGAGAGGAGAGGGGAGGAGAGAGGAGGAGAGAGAGAGAGAAGAGGAGACAGAGGAGGAGAGAGGAGAAGACAGGAAAGAGAGAGAGGTTCAGGATTCAACTACCCATGATGCACTGCTCCCCCCTTTCCTTTGATGTCAATACAGAGCGTTTATTAGGAGCAGAGACGTTAATCTGAAGGAGAACTCACACTGAGGAGGAGCAAAAATAGGAGGGGGGAGAGGAGGCAGAGGGAGTAGAAGGAGGAGGAGGAGGAGGAGGAAGAAGAAAATGTGAGGGTCAGTGATGGAGGTTAAAACATGTCTAACATATAAACGATCTGACCATTGCTGACTTTTAAATCCTCGATGTGCTCGGATGAATTTAACACAAAACAAGTCAATATTCATTACTGAGAGGTCTGCTTGTGTGTGTGTGCGCACGTGTGTGTCTGTGTGTTGGGGGTCGGGGGGGGGGGCTCTATGACGGGTGGTCACATCATTTACAACAGTTCTAAGCCTCAGGAGACGATGGATGTGTTCAGTATCTCAAAGTAAGTGTTTCAATATGTTTCAGTTTTGAATTGTCTGGCAAACTAGTTAGTCATTACTGAACACATTAACAGGTGTGACACATGCACAGATGTACATACAGGTGTGATACCTGTACAGAGAGACATACACCAACCTGCTCTGTGAACTCCTCCTCTCCTCATTCAGAGACACAGAGGGCAACACAAGGCCTACAACAATGCATACAACAAATTCAACATAAAATACCAAAAACTGCTTCTCCAGTGTCCACTAGAGGCTGTCTCCTGCGGTGAGTCAGTCCCCATAGAGCCCTATGTTAAAATGTCCAACTTTACAGCTGCAGTTCCTCCAGTGTCCACTAGAGGCTGTCCCCTGCAGTGAGTTCGTCCCCATAGAGCCCCAACAACCAGTCACACTAGAACTTTATCTTATTTACATGTTAGCAACCATTAGCAGCCAACTGTGGGAGGGATCTTTAGTCACACATGAACTGTTTTCTGTTTGTTTCCATGTTTTACTCTTAAACAGACGTTTGCAGATTCATATCAGACCAAGTCAAATCCACTGCACCGCAAACTCGACTATTAACCCTCCAAACTGGAGACCTCCCATTATATGACTGCTGATCATCATCCCTCTCCTCTTCCTCCCCCCTCCTCCCTCCTGGCTCCTCACCCCGTGTGCGCTTGGATTTAACACTGCCATCAGGAGTTTAACGAGAAAGTTATAGTGCGTCCACATCCTCACGCTCTGAGCTGAAGGTACGCTTACAGCAAGGTGGTGACATCTTCATTTTTCACACCTCCCCTCTCTCCCCCATGCATTATTCTTATTTCAAGCAGCTCCGCTCCTCAGGGGGGAGGAAGAGGGGAGTATTGTTTTACAACACACCCAGCTGCAGCCTGCTCGGCTTGCCCGGGGAGCTTTACAGAGAGCTGTGCTGGGTGACCCCTCGCTCTGTCAGTTATTAATAATAACACATGGCGGGGAATAGTTCACCTTGTAGCAATGTGTGTCTGCTAGTCTGCAGGGGAGGAGGAGGAGGGGGGGGAGCAGGGGGAGAAACACACAAAAGACATCAAACAAAGTTTCCTCCTTGTATGTAATTAGACTCAGGTAATCATCTCTGAAGTGATGGAGTGTGTGTGTGTGTCTAGCTATCTAAGTGTGTGTGTCTAAGTGTGTGTGTGTGTCTAAGTGTGTATGTGTGTGTGTCTTTGTGCTCTGAGAGCTCCTTTGTAACATCGAGCAGCAGATTCAATCAGTCTGAATAAAGAGACACATTCCAGAAAATTCTCCTGAAGAGCTCGACGGCTTCAAAGAGCCTGAAGGACTTAGACGTTAATGTGTGTGTGTGTGTGTGTCTGTGTGTGTGTGTGTGTGTGTGTGTGTGTGTGTGTCTGATGTGTTTGTTTGTGTGTGTGTGTGTGTGTGTGCGTGTGTGTGTGTGTGAGTCTCAGTCAGAGAAAAACTAGGTGTGTGTGTGTGTGTGTGTGTGTGTGTGTGTGTGTGTGTGTGTGTGTGTGTGTGTGTGTGTGTGAGTCTCAGTCAGAGAAAAACTAGGTGTGTGTGTGTTAAGGACAGAATGTTTGATGATGGTGACATTCAGCAGCCCAGGGGGCGCTGTAACCTTTCACAGAACAACATCCTTCAAACAACCCGGACCAACAGAAAGAGTCAGAGTCAGCTCAGGTGGAGCTAAGGAGCAGCTCAGGTGGAGTCAGCTCAGGTGCAGATCAGGTGGAGCTCAGGTGGAGCAGCAAAGGTACAGCTCAGGTACAGCTCAGGTGGAGCTCAGGTACAGCTCAGGTGGAGCAGCTAAGGTGCAGCTCAGGTGGAGCTCAGGTGGAGCTCAGGTAGAGCTCAGGTACAGCTCAGGTGGAGCAGCTAAGGTGCAGCTCAGGTGTAGCTCAGGTTCAGCTCAGGTGGAGCAGCTAAGGTGCAGCTCAGGTGTAGCTCAGGTTCAGCTCAGGTGGAGCTCAGGTACATCTCAGGTACAGCTCAGGTACAGCTCAGGTGGAGCTCAGGTAGAGCTCAGGTACAGCTCAGGTGGAGCTCAGGTAGAGCTCAGGTTCAGCTCAGGTGGAGCAGCTAAGGTGCAGCTCAGGTGTAGCTCAGGTACAGCTCAGGTGGAGCTAAGGTGCAGCTCAGGTACAGCTCAGGTGGAGCTCAGGTACAGCTCAGGTACAGCTCAGGTGGAGCAGCTAAGGTGCAGCTCAGGTTCAGCTCAGATGCGGCTTCAGCACGGTACGACTGCTTATGCATGGATACAAGCCCAGGAACACAACGTGGACATGACCTAGAGCCTGATCGATGTGACCGTTCCTCTCGACAATCATCAAACAATAGTAGCAAAGAAAATATGAGACTATCCAGCATTATGACATTATGATGGTCAAGACAAGAGGTAACTACACTCAGGCTTCAGCACGGTACAGGACAACTGGGCCTAATGTGAGTCCTAAAGCGCAGAGAGAGAGTGAGCTCAGAGAACAGAGCAAACACAAACGTGTTAAGAAACAAGCTGGAGAAACAAGACATGAGGACATGAAGAGACATGAAGAGACATGAGGACATGAAGAGACATGAAGAGACATGAAGAGACATGAAGAGGCATGACGAGACATGAGGACATGAAGAGACATGAAGAGACATGAAGAGACATGAGGACATGAAGAGACATGAAGAGACATGAGGACATGACGAAACATGAAGAGACATGAGGACATGACGAGACATGAGGACATGAAGAGACATGAGGACATGAAGAGACATGAAGAGACATGACGAGACATGAGGACATGAAGAGACATGAAGAGACATGAGGACATGACGAAACATGAAGAGACATGAGGACATGACGAGACATGAGGACATGAAGAGACACGAAGAGACATGAAGAGACATGAGGACATGACGAAACATGAAGAGACATGAGGACATGACGAGACATGAGGACATGAAGAGACATGAAGAGACATGAGGACATGACGAAACATGAAGAGACATGAGGACATGAAGAGACATGAGGACATGAAGAGACATGAGGACATGAAGAGACATGAGGACATGAAGCAACCTCATGTCCTTCATCATGAACTGAAACTCAGCTGAACATCAGCGACAGTAAGAGGAGGAGGAGGAGCAAAGGAGGAGGAGCAGAGGAGGAGGAGCTGGCCTGAATCTTTCACAGAGTCAAAATAAGGGCTGCTGACAAAACACAGCCTCAGAGTCTCAGAGGAGAACACCTGAAAGCACCTGAGGTCAGGTGAGCTCAGATCAGAGGAGACTGCCTCTGTTAGCATCTACAGGAGCCACCTTTCTATCAACACCACGTGTAGTTGAACAGAATCTCAATCTGAACTACAGAGTGGAGAAGAACATACTGGAGAACAGGAAACACAATGCCGCAGGTTTGTGTGTGTGTGTGTAACTGTGTAACTGTGTAACTTTGTGTGTGTGTAACTGTGTAACTGTGTAACTGTGTAACTTTGTGTGTGTATGTGTGTGTAACTGTGTAACTGTGTAACTTTGTGTGTGTATGTGTGTATCTCACCGTAGGTAGTCCCTCCTGCACAGGATGAGGTTGGCCTTGGTGTACAGCGTGGAGCCCACCTCTCCCAGTCTGCAGTCACAGCAGGCACACTTCAGACAGTCCTCGTGCCAGTACTTATCGAGTGCCTTCAGCAGGTAGCGGTCCTTGATCTTCCGGTTACAGCCGGCACAGCCTTTAGGCTTGGTGTCCGGCTGGACGGACAGCATTTGTATACCTGACAGGTGAACACAGAGAGAGAGAGAGAGAGAGAGAGAGAGAGAGAGAGACGGGTTTACACACTGAATATACTCTCACAGAGAACGAGGAGGAGGAGGAGCACCAGAAGGAGGACAAGGTGTATTGCTGCATTCAGGTGCTGCTCAGGTGGTCACAGTTTCTGAGTTGTGAAGTCGTTCTTCTGACTTCAGTGTGTTCACATGATTTCAGTTCAGAAAGTCTGAACGTTGTAACAACAGC